TATATTAACATGTTTTTTTATTGTGATTTATTATATTGGTAGGTTGTCTTATGCTTAATAAATTAACTTTAAAAATGTTTTAATTTTATTATAATGAATGAATAAATAAAAATTTATTTTATTTATCAATGTAACTTTTAACTTTAAGTGTAACTTAGTTACATAACTGTAACTTGTATCTGGTTACACAACATAAAATTATCCAATATCCTGTAACAGTTCTAGAGTAACTTGTAACCAGTTATAATAAATAAAGTAACTTGCCCAACCCTACTTATTTGTAGAAGATAAATGACATATATAAGTACCTTAAATAAAGCTTGACAGGTTCTTGGCTCCAAATTTTTTATCTTCCATTTATCATGCCAATTTTGTACAGTACGATAAGTAGGATTTTTAAATCCGTAAGCTAAATATTTTAGTGAGAAATTATCTTCCAATTCTAAAGGTTTTTTATGATGTTTTACAGCTTCAGTTAAACTCATTTCATCACTAAATAATTCCTCAAATTTTAATTGAATTGTTTGATCAGCAGGTAAAAATCTTAGTGTTGCTGCAGTATCAAGTGTTTGATTGTGATTTTCATTTAATTTAATGCAAGCAAACAATCCCCTCTACAATTAATTTACTATAGATAAATATAATATGATAGATATTTTATTTTTAATTCCTAAGTTGAAGTTAGCAGTGTTATTTTCAATATTTATAATTTTGTAATTAAATACCTACTTTTATAAATGAGTCTTTTTTTCTAGTAGAAGCAGTGTTCTTTTTTATTGTGATGGAAATTGAAGCAGAACAATCTGAATTTTTAGATGAACCTTTTTTATTATCATTATTAGCTACTTTTCTGTAACTACTATGGTGACACACATATACTTTACTAAAATAAGTTAAATTTATTTAAAATGTGTCAGTAATTTTATTTAAATTTAAAAAATTTAAATATTAATGATTAATCATTGATAATATTACACAAAATAATTACTAATTAGTTATGATAAATAAGTACATTTTATACTGTACATAGAATTTCTAATTAATGACAATAATTATTTTCATATTATATTATATTTTGTCTCAGTATCGAGTCTCATTAATAACAATATAAAATACTAAATAATGTCAATAAATGTAGGTAATAATTGTATATTTGTATCTATTTATAACAATAACATTAGATTTTTGTTCATTCATTGATATTATATATCAAAATTGTGTGAATTGTGTATTTATCTGAATCAATCAATTAATTTTAAATTTTAAATTGCAATTAATTCAATAATGGCTAAAAGAATGCTTAATGTCTTTAATATTAAAAAACAAAAATTAGTTGTTACTAATTCTTCGTCAACAAAAACACTAGAATGTGAAAATGAAAATTTAAATATTGGTTTAGACATTGATATCATTACATAAAAAAGTGTTGAAAATATTTTAGATAAAAATATCATTTCCGACTTGGGAATTTAAATAACAGGCCTTGTGCGACCAATTTTAACAATAAGTACAAATTCAGGTGAACACTAAACATAGTTTAAGTTATTCTACTATATTTAAATTATATATATTGCAGTCATATCCACTAACTAAATTTGGTACACAAAATCGCGCTTTCAATCATAAGCATTAAAAAACATATGAATGGCTTGAATATAGTATATCAAAAGATTCAATTTCTTGTTTTGCTTGTAGAAATTTTAGTACTGGAAATTGGAGCAATTTTGAAGATAGCTTTTTAGTTGGTTTTAGAAATTGGAAAAAAGCATGTGCTCTGTATTTATGCTTTTTAATTTATCATTTTTTAATTATAATTATGAATATAAATATATTATAATTTAAAGTTGAATATTTGTAGTGGATCTAAAGGTGGGAATAAAAGTAAACTCAATAAATTGGATGCACATGTTAAAAGTAATTTACAACTAACATGTTTAATTAAATGGTCAGCATATCAGAAAACAAAAGAAACTGGTAGTGTTTAAATATCTTCTCAGCATTCATTGATGGTTGAAAGTAATAAAAAATATATGAAAATGTTAGTTGATATTGTTTTATTTGTAAGTTGTCAAGAAATTGGTTTAAGGGGACACGGTAATCATGAAATATTCTTCCATTCTTCTCTATTTATTGCGATTCTCTTTAGTTCTGTATATGATTCTTTTCTTATATCCAACATGATTTGTTTCATATACGACTGTCTAGGTCTTCCCCTTCCCGGTTTTCCCTCGATTTTTCCTTCAATTATAGTTGTTATCCATGTATTGTTCCTTATGAGATGTCTTATTCACTTCTTTCTTCGCTTCACTATTGTCGTCCATATTGTTCTTTTTTCATTTATTCTCTTATACACTTCTTCGTTAGTCACTCGGTCTGTCCAAGGAATTTTTAAGACCCTTCTCCAGCACCATGTTTCAAAAGCCTCTATTTTTCTTCGGTCAACTTTCAATATTATCCACGATTCAGCTCCATATAGCACCATACTCCATACAATTGTTTTAACCAATGTTTTTCTAATGTTTATATATATAGTGTTTGTGGTTAGGAGTTTCCTTTTTTTTGAAAAAAGCTTGTTTAGCTTGCGCTATTCTACATCTTATATCTATAGCACTTTTCCCGTCACTGGTGACTCTGCTTCCGAGGTATGTATAACTATTTACGTTTCCCAACTTCATGCCATACATGATTATGTTGGTATCAACTTGTTGTCTACTACCAACTAGTATCTTTGTCTTCGTCTTAAGGATATTCATATTGTATTCTTGTTTGAAGGTGTTATTCATTTTTTTGAGCAATCTTTCTAGATTTTTTTCACTGTCTACTATCACGGATATATCATCTGCAAATCGAAACATCTGAACTAGCATCCCACCAATCTTGATTCCTCCTATACCTTCCTCTCTCAAATCTTTTAGCGCTTCCTCAATATATAAGTTGAATAAAGTAAATGATAAATTACACCCTTGTCTTATTCCTTTTTCAACTTTCGCCTCTTCGTATGCATCGTATTCACTTTTTATTACAGCCTTTTCATAATTTATGTATCAATCTTTTATCTTTAAAGTTAATACCTATCTTATCTTAATATGGAAAGGTTTTTCCCATCTAACATTGTCGAATGCCTTTTCCAAGTCTATATATATATATATATATATGGGTTTATTTATTCTGAACATTTTCTCTATAATTAGTCTAAGACATAGGATTGCTTCTCTTGTTCCTCTATTTTTTCTAAACCCAAATTGATAGTCTATAACAATATCCTCTATTTTCTTTTCTATCATTTTATGTACTATTTTTGTTAGAATTTTTGATGCATGTGATACTAGGCTTAATGTTCTATTCTCTTCGCATTTTTCAGCTTTTTGCTTTTTTGGTATAGGTATCATTACGCATTTTTCAAAGTCTTCAGGCAAATTTCCTGTTTCATAGGCATTCATTGTTATACTACACAGCGCTTCCTCTCCCATTCCTTCTAAGTCTATCAGAATTTCACCATTAAGATTACCGATTCTAAGGGCTTTATCACGTTTTAGTTCCTTTATTACTAATTCAATTTCTTTTATCATGATGGTAGGTTCTATAGATTCATAATTTCCATTTTCCATTTCTGGGGGGTCTGTGCCTTTTGTCCGTGTTTCCTATTTTGTATAACTCTTCTATATATCTTTCCACACTAGAATTTTTTCTCTATCTTCGAGAATCATATTTCCATCTTTATGTCTAAGTACTTTCGCTCCGCTTTTGTATGTCCCAAAGCACTGTTTTATGATTTTATATGCTTTATCACTTAAACATCTTAATAGACAATTTTCTATTTATAAGCACTTATTTTCTAGCCATTCCTCTTTTGCTTTCTTAGCTTCTCTGTTCACCATGTTTCTGTATTTTTTGTACTCCCTCCTATCTTCTTCCGTTTTATCCGTTTTTATACTTTCTCCTTGTATCTATGAGCTCTACTAGTCTAGTGCTAATCCACGGCTTTATTGAATTGTTCTTTGTTATTCCTAATATCTTATCTGCGGTATTTGTGATTGCTTCTTTAAAGCTTTTCCATGTATTCTTATAATTTTCCTGTTTTTCTATTGGCTTCAATTGTATTATTCTATTTACCTTCTCATAAAATTGTTTTCTTGTTCCTTCCTGCTTGAGTTTTTCTACACACCATTTTTCTTTGTTTCTTGATTTCTTGAATACTTTTTAAGACATAATTTTGTTTCCATGATTACTAGATAATGATCTGAATTTATGTTTGCCCCCGGGTAACTTTTACTTTGTTTTACCTGATTTCTATATCTTTTTTTTTATAGTATGTAATCCAATTGATATCTGTTACCTCCTCCTGGTATGGTCCAAGTGTATCTTCTTCATTTTGGTTTTGTGAATAACGTGTTGGTGATTATCAAGTCCCTTTCCTTACAGAATTTTATAAGTCTATCACCCCTTTGATTTCTTGTTCCAAGTCCAAAATTTCCTATTACTCCTTGTTCTGATCTCTCGCCTACAACGGCATTCCAATCCCCAAGAATGATTAAATTGTCTTTTTCTTTTGCCATTTTTATTACTTTTGATTTTTGCTCGTACAATTCCTCGATTTCTTCGTCTTTGTGACTAGATGTTGGCATGTAAATCTGTATTATAAATGTATCCGTTTGTTTAGTTTCTATTTAAATACCTATGATTCTTTGGTTAAAGTGAATAATACTCTTGATCTTGTTACCAAGGTCTTTATTTACTAATATTCCCAATCCTGCAATTTTGTCCTCGTCGCCAATAATTATTACTCTATAGTCTCCAGACCAAAAATCCCATAGACCTGTCCATTTAATTTCGCTAATTCCTAGAACATCAATTTTATAACGTTCCATTTCTAACTTCAAGTTATCTAGTTTACCACATACTCCTAGTGATCTGACATTCCATGTCGCTTATTATTAAGGTTAATTAGAAGCTGACGGCAAAAATAAAAGGAATGGATGAAGGAAGGAATTACAAGTTCATGAAATTATACTAGATTTATTATTTATTTATATTATAATACATGAAAGTAATGGTGTTCTTAAAATTGTATCGTATCATTATACGTTTTCAGAAATATAACAACGGATAGAGTATAATATTTTACTTAAAGAATCATAAATTTATCTATCAATAACTATCATTATAAATTAGGCAATATCCGGGAAATCTCCATGTTTACATTTGTAATGATTTTCATCGTTCTTATTTTCTTGACTAGCTTCCGCTACAAGAGATAGCAGTGGAAAAAGTGGATTATCAGAAGACCCCACAATACAATTACATTTTCCCTCATAGTCGTCATCTTCAAGGTCTGAAACTAATACTCCAAGCAAATTCAAATTAATTCGTATTCTGGCCTGTTAACAAAAATGTCAATATACTTGATGTAATCAACCAGGTTTAAAAATAAAAATGTTTGATATTTTCTACATTAATATAAATAAGTGCTATGTAAAAAATATAATTTTAAATATTATAATCTAAATGTTATTTAAATTAACATAAAATAAACCAGAAGATTCAGATGAGTAAATCATTGATGTCATAGTTAAGGTTTATCTTAATACTTGTAGTTCATTGAATCGAGATGAATCACTGAATTGATTCATTTAATTGAATTGAATCAAGAGAATCAATTCATTCAACTGATTCATATTTCCCAACTCTAATTAGCATTTAATAAACAATAAAAACAAATGGTTTATTAAATAAATAAACTTACTTTATCAAACATGTTCTTTAATGTTTCCACACAATATCTCCGATTTTTAGACATATTAACAGAACATAGCTGTAAGTAAAAAAATCTAATGAAATATAAAAGATTTTATTATTTCATTGAATCCAGAAACATTTTAATTTTAGATTCTGATTGAAATAATAAATGTATTGGTTTTGCTTACCACGAAATTTAAAAAAAAAAAATGAATACCTGGATAGTTAAAAAACTATTTATAGGCTTAAAATGTTGATGGATTTGGATATTTCAATTAATAAAAACATTTAAGCTAATTAGTCATAAACATTTCGCAGTTTCAGAATATTTTAATGTATTTGGCACTGTTTATAAGAAGATGGAATTTTCGTTCATGTCAATTTTTAGATGCCATTGATTTATTTGCGAAATTAAGGGAATTGAAATTTCAATCTACCTTAAAGTGATATGTGGTTCTTCTACAATACTAATATTACATAATTAATAATATAAACTGATCAACCTGACCTCGTTCTCTCAGAAACGTATTTTCGAGAGAAATGGTGTATTAGATTCTAGTTAAAGACATTAGAGCGTTTACCTGTGTCTCGTTTTTTATTTTTTTTCGTCCAACCTAAAAGTCTCTATCATTTGTTATTTTTTTTATTTTCTTAATGAATAAAATATCCAACAGAAGTTTATTTTTAACAATTTTAATTGATTGTTTTAATAATTATTTATTAAAATAATTCATAAATTATTTAAGATGTAGGTGATAATTTTAAAATTCATAACCCTTTATTATGATTATAAGAACTATATAGCATTTGACCATCTAATTTTATCATTTTATTTAGATTCTATTGTAAAAATATTTATAATTTTTCACTGAATTTACTTAGAATATATATTTGTAAATTAAACACTTACACGGGTATAACCCATATTTTCAGTGGAAACAGCTCCATCATCATTTAGAACACTGAATACTTTAATACGTATTGTATATATCAATTTATTTGTATCCAATCCTCCGACTTTTAGGGCCTGAACTTCTGATATCTAAAACGTGTAAGAAAAATATGCTTATTATCAATAATCAATAAAATTAATTATTCTTATTTTTTTTTAAAAAATTGTTGTTTTAATATCTGACTCATATTTTATATATATTATAATGTAAATTATATAATTTGTTTACTTTTCTTTTTAGAAATGTTTTCTTTTTAGTATTTTAAGTGCGGAATATAATTGTTGTGATTTAATATTTATATATTTATATATAGTCCAAGGTGAATTGGAAGCGAATTTAACGATGGATTTATGTCAAATGGTGGAGTGAGGGGATTGAGAATAACAGGAATAGTTAAAAGCTTTTTTAACTTTAAATTATAATTATTATTTAGGGATTTTAAGTGATGTAAGCATGTTGCTAAAATAACTTTATGTAATGCAAAATTATATTTTATTTAAAGATTTGTATACAATGTAATCAAAAATTACTAAACAACTTTTAAATTAAAAGTGTTTTGAGTATAATTTCAGAATAACATTTTAATTAATTAAGGTGTTAACGCAACCAGAAATAAAGATAATTAAAGATACATAAAATAGTAAGGATAATTTAAACATGTAATGAGATAAGAGGAAATAAAAGCAGCAAAAGTTGTAATGACAGTGGAGACCATAAAAGAGATGGTTGGATACGATTGAGATTTATTTGAGTGTTGTTGGTCTATGCTTAGTTGGTGTAGAAAATTATGACGAGTGAAGGTTTAGAACATTGGTGTTCAGCCTCAAATAATTGAGATAAAGTCGAAGGAGAAAAAGCAGAAGGTAAAATATGTTCACGTAATTCCTTGTCAGTTTTTAAATCAGTGATACAATTTCATTTATAATACCAGTTTATTACTTTTATTGATGTGTAATACCCATTTATGGTAATATTTGAATAAATTTTCCACCCCCTAAAAACATGGGACCAATGTAATACGTTATTTAATTTTGTATTTCCCTACTATATCATTTGGCAGCATCAAAATTGCCATATCTCTTTGATGCTTTTGGTACGTACAAGTATCAGGTTCCTTAGCTTTAAGTAAGTAGAAGTCAACATGATTATTTAGATATGTGAGATTGTAACCTGAAAAAAAAAACACTTATAATTGAGTTTTAATTTGATAATATTTGTAAAAAAATTTTCTGTTTTATGTACTGAAATGTTACCCATATCCATTAGATCATGATACATGTTTTATACATCTGTAAAATTACAGCTGTTCTAAGCAAAGCCATTATATTAACAAATTTGATAGAACAATAATTTGCTATTTAATACGAACGTAAATAAACAAACAATATATATAAATTTATATTTAGAAATAAAAACATAAGTAAATAAATAAATAAGAACTTAGCCTGGAATATAATTATATTTGTAACGTAAAAAATGTATAATATAGTGTAATATAATACAGACTTAGAATTATTGAATGCCTTAATACCATTTACATTAATTCAGTTTTAGAAGTGTTACAAAAAATGTTTTCTATATTTATTTTTTAGTATTAGTGAATAGTTTAATTTCGTGACACGTTTCTCTGAAATTATTATTATAAACTATTGGCAACCACTAAAAAATAGATATAGGAACCCTGGTCTTTGAAATCATAATTTTTATCCAATATCAATTACACATATCTTATTAACATCATCGTCCCATAAATCAGTCGACTAGTAGTTTTCTTCTGTTATAAAAACGTTTATTTCCACAATCATAGATATGACACGAGTGAGATTTTTTATTTTAAACGTGTATAATAGTGTAATATTTGAACTTCCGAAAATAAAATGTTATCTTATAACACCTACAATTATATTTTGTACATTTTTATTTGTAATATATTTGAAAGTAATATTTTTTTAACAGAGATAAAATATTTTAATCGTCATAAACCGATAATTCAAAACTATCTCATAGTTAATAATAAGAACGTTAATATCTGTTATAGATCAAAAGAAATAAAGAAATAAAGGAGGTGACCAAATTGACTCCCATAACAAGTTACCATAAAATGACGAAGAATGCAATGGTTTGGGCACACAATGGGAGGAGAGGAAATAAATGAAATTTGAGCAGCTGTTGAATACAAGCCAATAGGCAAAAGACCCTGAGGCAAACCCAAGAAACGATTGATAGATGAGGTGCAACATGATTTAGGGAAGTTAGAAGTAACAGATTAGGAGGAACATGTACTGGATCGTGATTATTTGAGATCAGTGACGGTGGCAGCCAAAATTCTTAAAGAGTTGTTTATGCACATAAGGCCTGGAAATTAAGTATTTAAACACGTATCTTTTGTGATGGGATATATAACATATTCAGTAAGGATTCACGACAATTGAGCGCAGAAAATTGAGCGCACGACAATTGGGCGAAGACTATTGAGCGCACGAAACTTGAGCGCTGCGAAAATTAAGTTCTAAGACAATTGAGCGCGATATAAACCTAAAAAAGTTAGTTAATAATTAAAAAAAAAAAAATAATAAGTCATAGTTAATATTACATCATATTTTAATAATACTGCAAATAAATACATTATGAGTTAAGTTAAAATATTAAATATTTTGAGCAATGCCTTTTAAAAACTGTTCAGTTGATCTTGAATGAAATTGTTCACAAATATTTTTTATTCTTAATCCTGAATCTTTGTATTTTTTTTTTTTTTTTTGGTTTTGGATCATGACCTGCAATAAACTGATGAATTCTAACTCGATTCAACTTTTCTTCTTTTTTTAAAGCGTCGATAAATTTCCAAATTGAAGGATGAACTGCATTTAAAATTGATTTAAATGAATTATGCCATCCTTCAATGGCATTATTGGTCCTTGGTATGTCATTTTTAATCAAACCATAACAGTTCCATAATTTTATCGAAAACTTTGGGGATCTTCGTTGTCTGTTACGACTAATACGACCTATCCATGTGTCTTCAAAATAGTCTAAGAGAGGTGTCAATATTGTTTCATGTTCTTTATAAAAATCAGTTTGTAATAGGTCTTCGAATGCAGTAATAACAGACTCTGGTGGAACATATGCTAATGCATTTAACATTTTAATATTTAATGCAAACTCGGAATTTTCATGGTATTTTACGGCAAGTCCTGTGTTTTGAATATGTCTCCATATAGATTGACAAAAGTGGAAAAAACATCCATTTATTTCCGTTTGAGGAAATATTTTTTTCACTGCATTTATTGCAGCTTGTTCGTAATCTAGCATTATAGAAATTGGATTTAATTCTGGTCTTAACTCTAGGATTTTTTTAAATAAACGTAAGTATATTTCTTCAATTTTATTTGGAAGAAGTACAAAAACGGATGGTAAAACATTACTAAATTGTACACCGTGAATTGTATATAGCTGGTAGAAAATAGTAGGTTACGATGAAAAAGTACCATCAATATACAAATGTTCACAATCAACCATCATATCAAGATTTTCCGTAGTTGAAAAAATTAATATGCGTGGAATTTCTTGATTTTGTGAATAACTATCATATAATAAAAATGGTTTATCATCTAATGTTGTTGTAAACTCAGGTGGAATGATCAACTCCTTCAATGAAGCTGGTTCAGTATGCACGTGTGAAAATATAACATCAATAAATACCTTGCAAAGTTCACATGTGTAGTTATCCAGCGATAAGAGTCTACATTTACTGCTGCATTACCGTCGTTGGAATTTTATTCTTTCAATAACACCTTATCGATAACATTATCTGATTATCATCAAACATAAGGATTTATCTGACGGGTTATATAGGTATTCGCAGATACTGCGAACAAATTCATTTCTAATTTCGTAATTTCATGTACAGCAGTTCTGCACTAAGCTTTTACTCAATATAGTATAATATTATGTTAAAGCGCTCAACTGTCTCGGTGCTTAATTTTCGCAGCGCCCAATTTTCGCCGCGCTCAATTGTCTTCGCTCAATTGTCTGCGCTCAATTGTCGCGCGCTCAATTGTCGGGACACCATTCAGTAATTATGATATTTTAGTGGTTCAAATTGTAGTAGAAAAGGTATAATCTTGAAAAAAAAATAAAGTATAAATAAATAGTTGAAAATCGATTATTATTGACGTTAAAATTCTATTACGTTCATTGAATGAATTCATTGATTTTATTTTATTTTTCTAAACTGCTATTATTTCGCATAAACAATGTATTGTTATTGACGTCTCCACAACTGTTTTGTACGTGTTATAATTAATGCGTGGTTTTAAATTATCCCTATACTTTATTAAAATAATTAAATCAATAGAAACATATGATTAACAGAATTAGACGGATTTAAGTAACAGAGGCTCTTCCCGATGCTCTGACCGTAACACACTGATTCTTATACAGACAGTTTATACGACAAGAACAGAAAGAGAAGAAGGAATATCGGCCGATGAACGTTACCACGAAAGCACAAGCCACCGGTCGCCACATGAAGAATAAAATGCCTGAGTGCCATGACACTAAAATTGAAAACAAAGGAACTTAAAAAAAACTTGTGGCACGGAGAACATGACTTTCAACTTTTTTGAAACATAACCGACAAATAATAAAAACGTGGAACAACGAACATTTACACGTGACGATAACAATGCGCTTACGTACTCGGCCAGTCGCAAACGGCGGCTTATCACCGCCGCTAACGATGGCTGAGGATACGCAACGCACCACTATGTATCGCACGAAAATGGTAACATTGATCAACAAAAATCACGGAGAGTAACGATCTCACGGGCGTACTGGGCGGTCAACCCACAAAAATTGTTGCTGTCGTCGAGCACAGGGCATACGCGCGATAAGATTTGATACGAGAACAAATATACACACATGCAATAAAAAAGGACTTATTGGCACAAACACCCGTTTTAAACGGGACGTCTGGTCACCCTGTACTAACATACTTGAATATGATAATTTAGATTATTGGTATAGATGTGTTGGTATCAGGGCCGGTTTTAAGGGGGGGGGGCACCGGTGGGCAATTGCCCGGGGGCGGCAAATTTAGACTCAGATAAAATAAAGAAAAATTGTAATGCTTCTATGTAAGTAAAAAAAAATAATTAATAAAAAAATATTAAATTTAAAAATAATCGTACAATTTTATTTATTATTATTATTATTATCATTAAGAATAATTTTAATTTGTAATATATAAATTGATTATTCAACTCTAGTTTATTTTTAGTGAGGTGTACTATAAATATAATTAGATAACCAAAATCAAATCGTTATCGGATGTTCGCCTTCGGAAATCATCAAAATAAAACTATTTTTAACAATATTATTATCGACGAACGACGTATAGATTTCTACGAAATACTATGTAAAATGTAGGTGTGTTGTGTTATGAACAATTGTTTATGTTTTTATTGTCAGCTCAGTGTACAGTGTCCACTCTTCAGTAATTTCGTTAATCGTTATACTTACTTTTATATTATTAAACTAGTACCTTCATTACTATTGGATTTTTGATTGGAAGATTATAATTTAATAAAAGGTAAGTTAATTTTATTTATTATAATTGGTAGGTATAAAATATGAAAGTTGTTTCGACTATATACATTTTCGGTTTATACGATCGATGATTCTTAAGCTAGTTATAAATAATATATTTTATTGAATTACGAGTAAAGTATCAAACGTTTATTTTTTTATTTTAATTTTGTCTATTCCTAGAAAAAAAAAAATCGGGTATATTTTTTTAAGCACGTCCCTAAATTTTAAGTTCTAATTATAATTTATGAACCATACTTACCTACTCAATATTTAAAAAACAACCTCCCTTAACCATCATAGGGCTTATTTGCAAATAAATAATAATTAAAATTATTTAACTAGGTACATCATGTATAAATATGTACAATTATACACCTATTAAAGAAATTATCGAAGTTTGCCCTAACAAAATTACAAGTACGGAATTCAGATGGTGAAAATTAAATTAATTTTTGAAATTTTGAATTTTGATAATAGCCAATAGGTTATATTTAACCACATATTTAACTTGAAGTTAATTTTTAACTGTGAAAGTAGGTAATCTAATAAATTATTTTTATTAATTTGTCTTCTCTAGGTTAAAAAAGAACATGATTTAAAAAACCGCCTTTATTAGATTATAAAAAGATTGATATTTAGTATTTTGCCTATATTTTGGTACCTATATCTATATATGCATGTATTTTAATATTTTATCACCAGTAAATTATTTGAGTTTAGTTAAGAATACTTTTTTAGTAATTATTTATTGATATTAGTAAATTTAAAATAAGTAACTGTAAAAAAAAAATGTGTTACCCATTTCAAATCACAATTTTTTGTACCTATGATGTATGTAGCTAATTACCTATATAATTTGAACCGATAAAATAAATAAGAATGTGTTATTGTTATTTGATATGTGAGTATAATGAAATATATAGTATAAAAACTAAGTGTTAAAACTTATAACTTAATAATTAATATTGTAAGGTTGAGGTAACTAACTATACTAGGTATATTTTAAATGTGCGTACAATTATTATGAATATTTGCTATGAGTTGTATGTAGTAGTTTAATCTATAGAAAATAATAGTTAATAAATATAGTTATTTGAGAATAATTGTGTCATTACCATTTTCATAGGTATCCAAGTTAATTATATTTTAACGGCACCGAAGAGAGTCAAAACTAGTGGTGCTCACAATCGTAATGAAGCAAGAAAGAAGAAAGAAAAACTTAATGAAGTTTTAAAAAACACAAAAAATATGGGTTCAATGTTGAAGCAGATGAGCAAGTCTCAACATGGTAAGAAAAAAATACTAAAATTAATTATAAATTTAATAATTTAAATGTTTAATACTTAAATAGTTTCCATTTTAGATAAATCAAATGAAATTGGTGAAAAACATAGTGATAACATCTACTTGGATAATGTTAAGGATCTAAAGTAAGGTTCTTACACAAAAATGATATAAATGTATCAAATTATAATTATAGTGAATTCATTTTTTTTTTTTTTTTAGATTTATTAAGAAAGAAATGCCTTTTTCTGATAATCAGATTGTTAAAATGCCTGATGATAACTTAAAACATACTGAAGTCTCTGAGTAAGTATGCATAGTGCACTTACAATTTAATATAATTTAGTAATGAGTACTTACATGGTTATGTTTCAAAAAAAAAATTTAAAAGGGTTGGTAGATAGATTAGTTTTGTCAGGATACTAGATGGAAACATTTAAATTACTCTAAAGTCTGAGAAATACCAGTATGTGTATATTATTTATACGGAAATGTTATTAATTTAATACAGTGCTTTTACTGCAATAATACAATATTTTCTGATTTAAGTATTTAAGTTTTATAACTAAATAATTGGTTATGGCTCTAATTTTTTAGATTTTTAAAATTATTTTAATTTATTAACTGTCCATCAATCAATTAAATCAACATTGATAATAATTTACTTCAATATATTTATATGGTATTTTATTTTTTTCAGTAAAATTTACTCTTAATAATTGTATATTATCAGTCATATGTTATTATTTATTAAAATTTTAAATACATTTTGATTAGGTTACGCTAAAATACAAGTAAATTTATAATTTTCAGCTTAAGAAAAACAGAGATATCTTTAGATGAAATCGATGAAAAACGTGACTATTTAAAAATTGATGGATTCTTTGAGTTTGAGTAAGTAAATTAATTTGGTTTATCATATATTTTTCTTGTTTTCTGTTATTTAGGAATTTTTTAAAATTATTTATTGGTATTTACATATTTAATTATAATATATTTTCAAATTTTAAATTTTGAGTAACGCGAGGGATTTAGTGATTTTGAATATTTTACTTTTAAACGTTTAAATAATGCATTTCTAGTTAGTTAAATATTTTACTACAGAACTAATTTTGTAATACTTAAAATTATATGATCAATTTAGAATATAGGTATAGAACTTGGTAATTTTTATCAATATATTTTACCATTCCTTACATTTTATCTACAATCTTAAAAATAATATTAAAATTAATATGTTTTTGTGATTTATTTTGTAAGTCAGATCCAGCTAAATGGGAAATAAATGAATATACAATTGATTGTATTTGTAAAAA